CTCAAAATTTCTACGTTTACTAAGCTTAGCAGAAGCAGGCGACGGTCGGCCTTCGTGACTACAATCAAACCACGAGAAAAGTTAGACTCAAGAAATAAGAGAAAAAGGGAGCGTAGGAAACCTTCGTCAAGGATCGGCGATGATCCTCCACTCGACGATCTCCAATTGTTCCTCGATGGCTTCCACCAAAGTGTCCAACATCCGCTCGATATAATCTTCCACCATGTGGTCGACCCTTGGGTTGCGTCGAAGAAGGTTGAATGTAAGATGCACACAAACCTGTGCTCATCATAGGAGAGGCCGTATTTAGTCTCTGGATCCGCCATTCATAGATGCTAGATGACAAAGTCTTCCCGCGGCTTGATAGTACTCTTGAATATTGTTGAAGAGAAAGAAGTTTCTCTTCAACTTGAAAGAGGGAAGAGCCAAAGACCGAAAACCTAAATAAGTTTCAGATTTGTTAGTAGAAGAGGGTGGTCGGCCAAGGGAGGAGCTTGGGAAAATCAAGCTCAGATTTTGGAGGGATTGGATTGAGTTTAGGAGGGGATTTTGGGGAGAAAGCTGAGTTTAATTTCCCAATCAAAGGCTCTTGACTTTGGAAATTATTTAGAGAGAATATGAGAGAGGAGGGGGGCGGTGGAGCAAGAGAGGAGTGGGGATTTAATTCCAAAAGGGGAGGCATGATTTTGGGAAGGAATTAAAGGAGGTGGGGCCTTGGGATTTTCGGCCAGAGGAGGTGAGAGGGAGTTTTGAATTCTTTCCCAAAGAGCCACTAGGATTTGGAAACAAAATCATTAGGAGATCCTAAGGGGCGCCGGCGACAATATGAGAGTGGGAGGGAATTTTGGCAAACAATTGGGGCTTCCTATTTTGGGTTTATGAATTAGGAAGGATTTAAATTAACTCCAATTTAAATTTGAAATTCAAATAGGGTTAATTTAGAAACTTTCCTAAAATAGATTTAAGAATTTAAGGAAGATTTTAAATTTCAAATTGTTTAGATTTGAATTCAAAAATCTGCCTCAATTACTCCAATCCTAATTAGGCAATGAAATTTAAAGTGGGAAGGAGGCTAGGGCCGGTGGCTAGTGGGGGAAAATTTGTGGAGCTCGGTTGGGAAGGGACGATGTCTTGGAGATGGAGATGGTTTGGATGTAAAGATGTCCGGTAGGGGTGGTGGAAGGGGAAAGGAAAAAGATAAGGAAGAAAACCACGAATCTGACCGTCTCCAAGGTTGGTGGGTGATCCGATCTCCCTCTCCTAGGGATTTCTCTCCAATCAAACTCTCAAGCTCTTACAAGAACTCATGCAATGAAGAAATTTTAATCAATCATCCCTTCTTGAAAACTAAAACAAGGGGCTATAAATAGCATAGTACATGAGATTCATGAAATAGAAAGACGAAAATGCCCTCGGGGCTTACATACGACATCCCTTTACTAGAAAGGTATGACGGGAAATAAAATAACATAAAATAAAACGAATACAACGACTCATAAATAAAACAATACATAACATAAATCGAAAGTACAATGACTCGATCGTGGCCGTAGATCGATGGCCACGCCTCTGATAAACCTTCCACAATCTGATGTCCCCATCAGTTTTTGTAGTCAAAAGTTGTATTTCTTGATATTGTGGTTCTATTAAGGACTTGAATTAGATCCCTAAAAAATCTAAGCAATCTTTAATTGACTGATCTCTGCTACTATCTTTGATGTTAGGAGCTTAGATACATTCTATGGATGATTTATTAATAACTTCAACAATATTATTGTCCCTTTGAAGGATCTTTTGGAAAAGGTCCAGTTTAGCTGGACACCATCCGTTGGCTAAGTTTTAAACAAATCAAGGTATTGATGACCGCATTAATAGTTTTAGAACTCCCTAATATTGGGAAAGATTTTGGGGGTATCATGTGGTGTTGGTATTTGTGGCATTATGAGCTTAGGTGATCAAGTCTGGTACTTTAGTGAAAATTGAAAGAGGCTAAATAAAATGTATTCTACACTTATGATAATGAATTTTATACTTACATCCAAGCATTAAGATTTTGCTAACATTATTTGTATTTAATGGAATTCTTTCTCTTATTGATAATTAAGCTTTCAAAACATATATAAATACTTAGAAGAAGTTGAGTAAAAGTTATTATTAAGTGGATTGAATACCTTAGGGTTTACATTTTGTCTTGAAACATACACGTGATATTCAAAATAGACCAATAGATGCATTATTCCAAATTTCTTTACTTTTAATCTCTACTCACATCCGTTTTTGACATAAGAAGATATGATTATGTGGTGTGCCTTGACTCATTAAATTTATCATGATCATAAGGATGTCATATATTCCTTTTGCTACTTTATGATGTGAAACTTTGCATTCCCAAGGACTCGTTTCATGATCATATTGTTTGGAAAATGCATGCTTGTGGTATGTTAGGTAGCATGGTTGGGATAAAATTATACATTTTCTTGAGTGTTGATTTATTGGTCTTCATTAAGAACGATACTACTTGTATTGTTAGTGTCATGCTTACCAGATAGAAAAAAATTGTTAAACAACCTGCTGGCATGTATACTTCTGCACTTGTACTTTTGACTCCTTAGGTTGATTTGTCTAAGATTTAATATTGGGATTACCTTAGGACTTTTCGTAGCCATGGTACTATAATGGTGCTAGTGGGCCTTTTAAAAAAGGCTCACTTTATTTCATGCTCCATGACTATTTATGCTTCTTATGCAACAAAACTTATCTTTTCGTGAAGTAGTTAGGCTATATGAGTTATCAAATACCATAATATCTTATAGAGATGTTAAGTTTTTGTTCTTATTTTAAGGATTTTATCTAATTGTTAGGTACTACTATTAAGTTTTCAATAGTCTTCACCTTTAAATTGATGATTAGATTGAGATAGTAAATAGAAGTGTTGGAAATACGAAAATATTTGGATGCCAAAAGTCTTGGTATTTGGGTTCTCTATCTTCTGATCATCAAATTTGCATAAAATAACATTATATGTAATTCTATGGGCAAGATATCATTTGAAATTGTTCAAGTACTAAACCCTAGAAATCCTATAGATCTTATTCCTTTACCATTGCATGTATATTCTAATTTTACAGCATTATTTTCATAACATATACATGATTTACATGATAAAATTAAGAAGCATGATCATTATAAAAAATTTTCTGATTCTATACATGTTAAGAGAAGTACTCAAGATATAAGAAATATGACTTTGTCATGATTCATATGTCTTGAATGCTGGCACATACCAGATAGAAGTAACTATAATCAAGGGTATTTAGGCATTTCAAAATTAGTAGGAAAATCTAATGCTTATATTTGAAATTTGCCTCATGATATACTTATTGGTCCTATTTTCAAAATTAAGGATATATCACCTGATCAAGGAACATTCGAAACTCAAGAAATTTCCTGGTGTTTCTTCTACATGTAAGATTTCAACCACAACTGCGGCTTTTATAGAACCAACATATATATATATATATATATATATATATATATGGTTCCACCTGCCTTTTTGAATGATGAGAGTATCATTTCAAATGAATTAATATTTGGGGAAACTGCAGAGCACAAATTTTGTGGTTAGGTGGACCTCCTTCATATGATATTTGGATGCCCAAAGAGGAATCGCAAAACCCAGTTCTACCGAGTTGAGTTCTTTGCATCCTATCTGAGTTGATGAAGTGTAGGTCTTCAAATAAGCCGAAACAATTTATAAAAGCCCAATTGGAAATGGTCCAAGTACGAGAAGTTAAAGCAGAATAGAACAGACGTAAATTGAGCCCATTTTCAAGCCTTTTGATCTCTTATGCTTTTGTATAATATTTTATTTTATTTTTTATAATTTTGAGTTATTTTGTTAGGTGTTGTCTTTCTTTTTTTTGGATTAGAATAGGTAAATTTAAAGTTTGTTAGAATTGGATAGGATTATATTTCATTTAAAGTTTAGCCTTATCAGTGTAATCTTATTTTCTAGAAGTAGGGATCCATGCTGTAGAAATATACGATGTTCAAGAACACCAAGGCAAATACAGAGAAGTGTAAATGAAGAAGAAAGCTAAAACAGGAATTCTTATTATATCAGGATCTCCCTGTACCGAGGAGTACATGCCTATTTATAAGAAAATATAACAGCTGCTATGCTACATACATCGCAACAGTAACATTAAGTATTTGATGTATTATCCTGTTGCTCTAATACTTGCTACATGATTGGATTATTATTAATTGAATGAATGTGGCCAATTGAGTGCTCCGAATTATATATGTGGAGTTTCTTCTATATAGGGGTGCCAATTTTTGACCCGACCCGGAAAAATTTGGGTTCGGGTCAACCCATTTATGAAACGTGTCGGGTTCGGGTTCGGGTTTAGTAAACTGACTCGTTTCAAAAATCGGGTCGTGTTCGGGTTGACCCGGGAACCCGAAAACGACCCAAAAATGACTCGGAAATGGTCCCTGCCCAGCTGCCCGCGTCGACTGCCGCTGCTGGCTACCACTTCCATTTTAATTAACCGGGTCGGGTTGTGTCAACCCGGCAACCCGCGCGGGTCAGGTTCGAGTTGACCCATTTAGAACCGAGTCAACTCGGGTTCGACCCGAACCCGACCCCCCGTCTACCCGAATTGACACCCCTACTTCTATACCTATCATCATTCAGTATTCAACATGAACATAAAATGAGTGGTATTAAAATCTCAACAAATTGGCAAAAGTTTTCCATAGTGGGATAAAAGAGATTTTCTTACGGCTATTATTACTATCAAAGCAATGAGTAGTAATCCCTGAAAATTAATGATGTGTGTAAATAACTTAGTATTTGATAAATCCTGCTTCCTAGAGGCATCTACTAACTTGGAAACATTTGCGTTTGTTTATATTTTTAATGAGTCACGCTTCTTTTAGTATTCATTACTCTTCTCTACACATAGTTGAAGTTGGTACTTCTATCGGGCATGCAGGAGGCATTTTTTACAGTGCCATCAGGGTTTGTTAAATAGGCACTTTGAGAAACTTCTCCAATGTGATCCACGTCTTAAAACACTAAATCAGCAACCAGAGATTGTTTTGGAGTCTTCGTGCTTTGAAGCTTCAGGCTTGGAGGACCAAGATGAGTCCAAGTGCCTTGAGTTTGAGAATGTGAAGGACAATCAAGGATCCTCTACTGGATTTCATGATCCCAAATTACCCCGTGCAAAGACGGAATATAGGGATAAAGTTGATGCAGTGCTAGATCTTTCAGTGAGGCAAGTGCATTTCCATGATTCAGGTAATTTTTGGTCCTGCACAAATCAACTGATATTACTTGCATTACTTAATGACTTGGTATGGTAAATCTGATATGTAGCTTAAAGAATGAAGAAAATGATCCTTTAACTCTTTGTGAAGGATCAAAATGATCCCCTAACTCTTTTGAGAGACTAATTTGATCCCTCAACTATTTAAAATGTGATATTTTTTGTTATAATATTTTATGTTGGAGTTAATGGTGTTAAATGTAAGAGTATTTTGGTCATTTTTAATTAAACATTTATTAAATGTAATTTTCAATTAATTATAATTTTTTAAAATTTAATTAAATGTTTATTTAGTTAAAAAATTTTATAATAATTTTAGTTTTAATTTAAAAAATGTCATATTTTATAAAATATGATGGTAAAATATGTGTGCCTAAGTTGAAAATAACATCTATTTGCATTTGATAACAATTAAAACTAAATAGATGTTATTTTTAACTTAGTTACCTATCATATTTTAAATATGACTAAAATTTTTAAATTAAAACTAAAATTATTATTTATTTTTTTAGTAAAGAAACATTTTATAAATTTTTTTAGAAATGATTACCATTACTTTAAAATTATGTTTAATAAATGTTTAATTAAAAAATAACAAAAATACTTTATATGTAACACCATTAACTCCAATATTAGATGTTAGGATAAAAAATATCTCATTTTAAAAAGTTGAGGTATCAAATTAGTCCCTTAAAAGAGTTGGGGATTATTTGGTCCCTCACAAAGAGTTCATGAACCATTTTGATCTTTTTCTCTAAAAGAAAGTATTGGTGCTCCTTTGATTCCTTATTACATTAGTTCTAACCTTTATATTTGCATGATTCTCTATGCAAACTCTCCCTTTTGCCTGTTTTAAACTTCTTTTTTGGGCTATCTTCTATTCTGTGTTAGGAAAAAGAAAAATTACTTGAGCAAAACTCTAATTTTGTTACTCTTTATTATGCCTATTTTTTCCCTGAGATCATTTTTTTTTGGTAAATCTTTTTAAGATTATCATTTCCTCATGCAGATTGTGTGAAGTTAGTTTTATGAATCCTCATTTGTCAAGATGATTACTTTTTGAGGTGTTAATTCTTATGTTTATGCAAATTCTTATGCATAGCACCTAGATATATTAAATTTAATATACCTTTAATTCCTTCATATGTGTTTCACATTAATTCCACACCTTGTGTTTAAACCATCATCATCTATAAGCCGTCGAATAGAGTTTGTAATCTTTTTCATCTTTGCTTTAACTTCTGCTGGTATCATCCTCGGTGCATATTATCTGATAATTTTGTTCAAAATTTGTGCAATCTCTTAGGAAACTCTACGCCTAAATAGTATCATTTTCTTGCTAGTCTAAGTGACCCTGTTTAATGGATTCAATAGTCTAATAATTTTTCATTGGTATGCAATATTTTTTTCATACCAATATTCAATAGTCTAATAAAAAAAAACAGAAACTCTCCTTTTCAGCAAAGTTGAGCTTCATTATTTCGTTATTGAGAAACTACATTACATATCCACCTGGTTATGCAACCATTTTCTCATTTTGGTTTTTAATAGTAGGTGCTTCTGTCAAGGAACCACCAGTGCAATTGGAACAGCTTAAAGCACCAAAACTTAGAGCCTCCATGTCCAAAGAGGATTTAGTAAGCCATTTAGAGCAATGCATTTCCGAACAAATGGCTTCAGGTAACCCACTCTTCTCAGCCGGCTGCTTACCAAACAAGGAAAAGCTAGAGGAATTGGCCGACCATCTTCTCACGGATTCTCAAACTTCAGTTTCTGATGAGAAATCTCTTATATCAAAAGTAAACTCATTCTACAGTCTCCTTCAAAAAGATTCCTCATTTCAAAACCTGCATTCAGGTATCAATCCTACTGCAGAAGAACACCAATATTTCCTTGAAGATGAATCCAAGCAATTATTGCCAGAAAGAAAAGCTCTCGATGACCCACAATCTTGTGGCATTACTAGAAAGGAATCATTCGGTGAATTGCTGATGAATCTACCTCGAATTGCCTCATTCCCGCAGTTCTTATTTTGTATTGCCGAGGACAATTATGACTAATGGGCTGCCTCTGAAAATGCTGTATGTCAATGGGTTTAGTAATGCTGTTTGGAAAGTGCTTTTGTTAACGTGAAAACTGAATCAGGGCAAGCTTTTGTTGACCTCAAAAGGGTTCTCTTCTTGTGAATGTGTGAATAAACCTTGTATAATCTTATATTCTCCTTCGATGCTTTCAGTAGCTTTTGCAAACTATTTTGTGCTCAAAATCAGCTCCCAGAAATACTTATTAAAAGAATCACAGGATTGTCAGGAGATTTCGTGGATCTACACCATCAGGTTTGCTCTTGCATGTGACCGGTCGGCTCACTGTGCATGGATTTAAATGTGGGTTCACTTTCTTAAATTATTTATTTAAGCTTCGTTTGGGACGGCTTTCTTCCTGCTTCTTAAAACTATTTTTTAGTTAAAAAGTTAAAATTTTTGTATTAGAAAACTGCTTTAAGAATCAGTAAAAAAGCCATCTCAAATGAAGCCTTAGATTCTCATAGACCGTTGGCTAAGGTTTCTATTTCTTCTCAAGATGATTTCTAAACTTCTTGACCGTAACATCTGCTAGTTTAGGGTTTATGGATTGTAATCCGAAGGTTGCCTGTGTGGGAGTGTTGGTTCTTTTTCCTTTTGATTTCTCTTACTTGTAGGACTTTCTTTTGTTATACCTGTTAAAAGTTGTCTTTTTTAACTTGTTTTTTGATCACCTGGAACTGCAGTATTTTTAAATTTAGGCTTCGTTTGGGTTAATCTTTTTATCGCATTATTTTCTTAGATCATAATCATAGTTCTTATTTGTCATTGTTTTTTTACTGTTTTTAATAAATTTTAGTGCCGGGAAGTTGCTTTCTACAGTAGTTTTTAAAATAGTTATTTTCTCTTCAGTAATTGTACAATCACCTTTATAAAAAAAATACGGTTATCTTAAACCGACCATAAGTACTTGAGTCAAGGCTCTAAAAAATTCCAAGAAAATAACGAGGGACGCATACTCTTGGACCTACAGCATAAAGGCTTAGGATGTTTGGGGAGTTCTCGAGTGGAAAAAAAAAAAAGTTAGAACCACATTTTGGGACTTTTTTTTTATGTAATTAGGATTTAACTCGAGCATGATTTTGTAAATATTTAATAAAACTCGAGAATTATTTGATATGGTAGGTGTTAAATTTGATTAAATTTCAGAAAACATTTTAATTTTATCTTAGGATTTAAATAATCTAATGATTATAAGATCTTACTTTATCTATTTGGTTTATATCAACTTTAATTAGACTTATTAAATTATCATTAACAGAATATCTCATCTCAATTAATCATTATTTAGTGATTTACTAAGTTAATTAAACATAATAACATTTATTTAGTCTAATTAAATTGCAATTAATACCAATTTGCTTTACTTAATGTTTGTAAATTAATAAATATCAATTATTCATAATTATTTAATTTTTTAGTTTATGTATTTATATCTAGTTTTATTGATTAAATATTAATCGTTTTCTTTCAAACCTAATTAAATTAATTAAAAATCTTAGCCGCATTTCCTATGTTTGAGGAGTTAGCTAATGTTTAACGGAGTCTAGGGAAGAAAAGTAGGGGAGCCAGCTAACAACCTAGGAGGTGAATTTTTGAAATTTTAAAAAGGAATGGATCAAAATTGAACACATATTAATGAAGTCAAGGGAAAAAAATAGTAAGGGACATTTTGAGATTTCGGAACCATTCAGAAGTGTCCCAACTTAATCTAAGTGTTGGACTTTATGTTTTAGATTGAAAGAAGATTTAATTTGAGTTGAATATTTTATTAAAAATTTGGAATTATATTCCCAGAGGTTAGGGTCTTATGATACAAGATCTGCCTCAAATCCTAAATCTAAATTTGGACACTTCACCATAGTTGTTCGAATCTAACTAATGCAGTGCAGAGTCTGGACTTATCCCGTCCTGGATTGGAAAGCCAGCTAACCACCTAATCGATTTTAAATACATGAATCAGTCATTTTATGATAGAGTGGTAGGGACATTTTTATTAAAATTTTGGAGAGCTGTGGTCAACATCTAGAGATTGTCTTAAGTTGCTCATTTGACTTATGCAGGGTGAAAATGTTAAATACTGATGCAATTAAAATTTTGACTTCTTTAAATATATTTCTAATGCAATACGTGCTAGTTGACAACTCCAAATCATGTATGCTTGAAATTTAAAAAGGCTTAAAAATAATTTTTTAGAAGACTGAGCTTTCCTAGGTCCGGCACCTCATTCTCATAGGTCAGATTATCCGGACTCTACCCGCAAGCAGGGAAGTGTCTAAAATAAGGGAAGAAGAAATGTAGAAATATGCATGCGACCCCGGGGGCGATCCCTTGGTCTGCAGAAAGTAAAGTGGCTGGACACCATTGACAACAACCCGGATTCTAGTTCTAATAAAGACGCAAGTGACTTTGAGTGGGATAGTTTGTCTTCAATTCTTCAATCTTCATTCCTTCAACCTCCTTGGATTGTTCGTGGTAAGCTACCCTAATGGAAAAGATAGCTCTTCTTTTAAGGGGAAGGTTACCCTTTCCGCTTTGGGTAGGAAAAAGATGATCCGAATTTAGATTTCTAAATATAAAAGGGCTACGCCCCTAAGGGGTATCCTTTTCTCTTTGGAATCCAACCTTTGGACCTATGTATCCCAACTCAAAGCTCAACTTGCACAACACTTAACATTTTACACAAATTACATTTGATATGAAATAAAAATTTTAGACTCTCCTGCAGGGTTATCCTAAGCATTTAATAAATAAAAAAAACATCCCAAGTAGTTATATATATATATATATATCCAATAGTAATCAGGATTAATTAAGTTAATTTAAGTTGGTTAAGATTAAAAAGTAGATTAATATTAAATATTTTAATTAGTAACTAATTTTTAGGAGGTTTGTTAAGTGTTTATTACTCAAGTTAAAAAATTCTGAAATTTTAATGGAATTATTGAATTTTCTAAATTATCTAAATGTGTTAATTAAGGGGTTAAAAGTTGACTTTTAAAATTAATATTAATATTAAATATTTCATATTTTTAATAAATATTAGAGCTTATAATGAGTTGTTAGACTATTAGCACGCTCAATTCAAAGTTTTCTATGAAAAGTTATGAATTTTAAAATTTAAAGCTTAGATTTGAACTATGGTTGACTGAATTGTTGACTTTTTGACTTTGACCAAATTTTGAAGTTTTGACTTTTTTAGAAAATAGTATATTTTAATTAGTCATTAGCCTTTGAGTTTGATTGATTTGGAATTTTCTATAATTAGTTATGAATTTTAGAAATTTGGATTATTAATGAATTTTGAAATTATACTACTTAAAAATGATTTTAGAATTTTGGTTCGAACTCATTCCAAACTTGATGGAATCACTCCCAAAAGTCATATATGGCCCTGGGGAGTGTTTCCAAATATTTGAAAATTATTTGAGATTTTTAATAATTTTTAATTAATTAAAATAATTAATCTTTGATTTTTCCTCAAAATTAAAATATCATTCTTCTTATTCAAGTCATGAAATTCATCAAATAAACTCATGTGATTGTTATCTATTAATGCATAATCTTTTCTAAGGATTTTATATTCTCTTTATAATTCTTGCAATTCTAAATTTAGACTAGCATGTATTTTCTTTAGTTTTCTATATGCATCATGAATTTTTTCAAAAACTTCTAACAATTCATTATAGGTCAAGTCACATACATCTTCTTGATCTGACTGATTAAGATTATCAGCCATTAAGCACAAGTTTGTGACTTCTTCCTCCTTTTCTATTTCTGATGAATCCGAAGTCAAGTCCTCCCAAAAAGCTCTTTGAAATATCTTCTTACCATTCTTCAGATTTGATTTCTCCTCTACCTTCTCCTTGTTAGGAGTGGCTTTTAGGTTTGAGAATTCCGATTTTATGTGTCTAGGTTTCTTGTATTCATAGCAAATTACATCATTAGAAACCTTAACATTCTTATTAAACTTATCTATGTTCCACTATTGACGTCTCTTCTGCTTCATTTTAAGCAAACTTCTAAATTGTCTAGTCATTAAGGTAATGTCATCCTCATCATCAGGTTATGAAAGATCACTTTCCAACTCCTCCACTTTTAGTGCAATATTCTTCTCCTTTCACTATTCACATACATCAATCTTCTTTTGACTCATTCTTTGCTCTTAGGCAATTAGTGAACCAAAAAGATTATCAATTGAGTAAATATTTAAATCTTTAGACTTTGTAATAGCAGTTATTTTAACATCATAGTAGGCAAATAATGGAGAATTTTATTAATCATTTTAACATTTTTTAGTTCCTTATCCAAAGCATATAAAGAAGTGACAATTTGAGTAAATCCTGTATACATTTCAGAAATAGATTCATTTGGTTTCATGTGAAATAATTCATAATCATATAACAAGATGTTTAATCTAGATTGTTTTACTTTATTTGTCCCTTCATAAGTAATACAAAATCTATCACATATGTCCTTTCCACTTTTGCAAGTAGAAACCCACATGTAGTCTTCTGACTTAAGTGCATAAAAGAAACTGTTTAAACATTTTACATTAAGTTGTACTAAGTCACATTTTTTTATAGTCCAATCTGCAAATGGTGTTTTAACTCTAATACCATCATCTAATTTAGTTGGTTTTGTATATCCTTCTTGAATTAAGATCCACATACGATAATCTAGTTACTCTAAAAATGTAGACATACATATTTTTCAAAAATTAAAAGGAATATTATCAAATAACGAATGTATAGTGATCGAGTACCCTTTGGGTGTGTTTTGGTTTCCAAAAGTAGCTATGCTTGCTTTTCAATTAAACTTATAGTTTTGAAACAAAGCTCTTATATCGCTTGTTGAATCTTGATTAGGTTGTTAAACCTAAGCTAATGTTCCAAGGCTAACTAAGAGGAGGGGTGAATTGGTAATTTTAAAAATTACTCTTAGATTTTAAAATTGAAAATCTTTAAAGATTTATAGCAAGTTAATTGATAATATTTGAAAATAAAATTTTCAACCACATAATAAAAACTTGTAGTAAATAAAATATGAAAATTTAAACGACACAAAGATTTATAGTGGTTTGGTCAAACACAACCTACATCCACTCCCTGAAGACTCCCTCTTCAGATATTGCACTATTACCAAAAGTGTCTCTTTTATTTCCCCCA